GTAGTTAGTAGTAGTAGTAGTAGTAGTAGTAGTAGTAGTAGTAGTAGTAGTAGTAGTAGTAGTAGTAGTAAGTGTAGTAGTAGTAGCAATAAAAAATAGCCTGGCGAAGGACCCAACCATGTGCAGCTGTGAGTACCGCAATAGTGAACATCTTCTTCGGCGCGGCGCCGCCATGCCAACGCAGCCACTGCGGCCTCCGGTGGAGCTCCTTATGGGGCCACGAAACGTGTGAGGGGTGTGCCGAAATGGGTGTGGCGCCGCCATGCCAACGCAGCCACTGGGGCCTTCGGTGGAGCTCCCTATGGAGCAACGAAACGTGTGAGGGGTGTGCCGAAATGGGTGCGGCGCCGCCATGCGAACGCAGCCACTGGGGCATTCGGTAGAGCTCCCTATGTGGCCACGAAACGTCTGAGGGGTGTGCCGAAATGGGCGCTGCGCCGCCATGCCAATGCAGCCACCGGGGCCTTCGGTGGAGCTCCCTATGGGGCCACGAAACGTGTGAGGGGTGTGCCGAAATGGGTGCGGCGCCGCCATGCCAACGCAGCCACAGGGGCCTTCGGTGGAGCTCCCTATGGGGCCACGAAACGTGTGAGGGGTGTGCCGAAATGTGTGCGGCGCCACCACGCCAACGCAGCCACTGGGGCCTTCGGTGGAGCTCCGTATGGGGCCACGAAACGTGTGAGGGGTGTGCCGAAATGGGCGCGGCGCAGCCCATGCCAATGCAGCCACTGGGGCCTTCGGTGGAGCTCCCTATGGGGCCACGAAACGTGTGAGGGGTGTGCCGAAATGGGCGCGGCGCCGCCATGCCAACGCAGCCACGGGGGCCTTCGGTGGAGTTCCCTATGGAGCAACGAAACGTGTGATGGGTGTGCCGAAACTCGTGCGGCGCCGCCATGCCAACGCAGCCACTGGAGCCTTCGGTGGAGCTCCCTATGGGGCCACGAAACGTGTGAGGGGTGTGCCGAAATCGGCGCTGCGCCGCCATGCCAATGCAGCCACCGGGGCCTTCGGTGGAGCTCCCTATGGGGCCACGAAACGTGTGAGGGGTGTGCCGAAATGGGCGCGGCGCCGCCATGCCAACGCAGCCACAGGGGCCTTCGGTGGAGCTCCCTATGGGGCCACGAAACGTGTGAGGGGTGTGCCAAAATGGGTGCGGCGCCGCCATGCCAACGCAGCCAGTGGGGCATTCGGTGGAGCTCCCTATGTGGCCACGAAACGTGTGAGGGGTGTGCTGAAATGGGCGCGGCGCCGCCATGCCAACGCAGCCACTGGGGCCTTCGGTGGAGCTCCCTATGGGGCCACGAAACGTGTGAGGGGTGTGCCGAAATGGGTGCGGTGACGAGGGGGGGGCAGCGGGAGGAAGGAAGGAAGGAGTGAACGCGGGGCGCTGTCTCTTCAAAACGAGGACCCAACACCACAGGATGGTTGGGAATAAAATAGTCGTAGTAGTAGTAGTAGTAGTAGTAGTAGTAGTAGTAGTAGTAGTAGTAGTAGTAGTAGTAGTAGTAGTAGTAGTCGCTGTAGTAGTAAATGGTAGAAGTGTTCGTAGTAGCTTTAATAGTACGAATACTAGTTGTAGTAGTAAAAATAACCGGAGTAGTAGCTGTAGTACTAGTAGGAGTAGGAATATGAGTAGTGATAGTAGTAGTGTCAGTGGTAAGAGCAGTGGTAGAAATAGAAGTAAAAGTAAGAGTAACAGTAATAGCAAAAGGAGTAGCAATAGTAATAGCAATGGCACTAGAAATAATAATAATAATAGCAATAGTAATAGTGATATGAACAGTAATAGTAATAGTAATAACAATAGCAATAGTAATAGTGGTAGTAATAGTAATAGTAATAGTAATAGTGATAGTGATAGTCATAGCAATAGTAATGGTAATAGAAAAGGTAATAGTAATAGTAATAGTAATAGTAATAGTAATAGTAATAGTAATAGTAATAGTAGTAGTAATAGTAATAGTAATAGTAATAGTAATAGTAATAGTAATAGAAATAGTAATAGTAATAGTAATAGTAATAGTAATAGTAATAGTCATAGTACAAGTAATAGTAATAGTAATAGTAATAGTATTAATAATATGAATCGTGATAGCAATAGTAAGAGTAAAAGTAATAGTGATAGTAAAAGTGATAGTAGTAGTATTAATATTAATAAAAAACAGTAATAGTAATAGTCATAGTCATCGTCATAATAATAGCAATAGTAATAGTAATCGTCCTATTACTAAGAATAGTACTAGCAGCGAAAGTACGAACAAAAGTAGAAGTAGAAGTATAAGTAGATGTATCAGTGGTAGCAGTAGTAGCAGTCCCAGAAGTACTAGTACTAGAGGTAGTAGTAGTAGTAGTAGTAGTAGTCGTAGTCGTAGTCGTAGTCGTAGTCGTAGTCGTAGTCGTAGTCGTAGTCGTAGTCGTAGTCGTAGTACTAGTAGCAGTAGTCGTAGTAGTAGTAGTGGTAGTAAAAGTAGGAGCAGGAGTAGGAATAGTAGGAGTAGTAGTAGGACTAGTAGTGGTAGTAGTAGTTGTAGTAGTGGTAGTAGTAGCAATAGTAGTAGTAGTAGTAGTAGTAGTAGTAGTAGTAGTAGCACTAGTAGCAAAAGTAGTAGTAGTAGTTGCAGTAGTAGTAGTAGTAGTAGTAGTAGCAGTAGTAGTAGTAGTAGTCGTAGTAGTAGTAGTAGTAGTAGTAGCAATAGTAGTAGTAGTAGTAGCAGCAGTGAAAGTAATGGTAGTAGTAGTAGCAGTAGTAGTAGTAGTAGTAGTAGCAGTAGTAGCAGTAGTAGTAGTAGTAGTAGTAGTAGTAGTAGTAGTAGTAGTAGTAGTAGTAGTAGTGGTAGCAGTAGTACTACAAAGTCAGATTACGTACGAAAACAACAATAACCAAAAATACGCGACCGACGAACCCCACATACTTATATTATGGCTCGAGTGATGATAGCTGAAATGAAGCATGTGGGAATGATGTTGGTGGCCGTTGCCCCGCCGATACCGTTGGTGACGCCACTCAAGAGGAGAGGTGGCAGAGGAGAAGCGCCGCGCCAGCCACACTGTGCGAGCCCGAAACAGATAGCGACCGCACCACCAAGGCACCCCCATTGCGGCGTCGAGAAAATGCCACGCCTGCCACGCGTTGCGAAGCCGCAACGGGCAGGGAGACCACCCCCAGCGCACCCCCTGTGGTGTCGAGGACGTGACACGCCTGCCACGCTTTGCGAGGCCGCAACGGATAGGAAGACCACCCCCAGCGCACCCCTTGTGGTGTCGAGGAAGTGCCACGCCTGCCACGCGTTGCGAGGCCGCAAGGGATAGTGAGACCACCCCCAGCGCACCCCCTGTGGTGCCGAGGAAGTGCCACGCCTGCTGTGCCTGAGCGACTGGCGCGGATAGGGCCCCCACCCCCTGCGCACCCTCTATGGTGTCGAGAAAGTGCCACGCCTGTTGTGCCTGATCGACTGGTGCGGATAGGGCCCCCACCCCCTGCGCACCCCCGATGGTGTCGAGAAAGTGCCACGCCTGATGTGCCTGAACGACTGGCGCGGATAGGGCCCCCACCCCCTGCGCACCCCCTGTGGTGTCGAGGAAGTGCCAAGCCTGCTGTCCTGAGCGAACTGGCGCGGATAGGACCCCCACCCCCCTGCGCACCCTCTATGGTGTCGAGAAATGCCACGCCTGCTGTGCCTGAGCGACTGGCGCGGATAGGGCCCCCACCCCCTGCGCACCCTCTATGGTGTCGAGAAAGTGCAACACCTGCTGTGCCTGGACGACTGGCGCGGATAGCGCCCCCACCCTGTGGTGTCGAGAACGTGCCACGCCTGCTGTGCCTGAGCGACTGGCGCGGATAGGGCCCCCACCCCCTGCGCACCCCTTATGGTGCCGACAAAGTGCCACGCCTACTATGCCTGAACGAGTGGCGCAGATAGGGATACCCCTCCCAGCGCACCCTCTATGGTGTCGAGAAAGTGCCACGCCTGCTGTGCCTGAACGACAAGCGCGGATAGGGGCCACACCCCCTGCGCACCCTCTATGGTGTCGAGAAAGTGCAACACCTGCCACGTTTTCCGTGTGGTGTGGTGTGGTGTGGTGTGGCGTGATGTGATGTGATGTGATGTGCGTGTGTCTCCTGATGTGATGTGATGTGACGGATGGTGTGGTGTGGTGTGGTGTGGTGTGGTGTGGTGTGGTGTGGTGTGGTGTGGTGTGGTGTGGTGTGGTGTGGTGTGGTGTGGTGCGGTGTGGTGTGGTGTGGTGTGGTGTGGTGTGGTGTGGTGTGGTGTGTGTGTGGTGTGGTGTGGTGTGGTGTGGTGTGGTGTGGTGTGGTGTGGTGTGGTGTGGTGTGGTGTGGTGTGGTGTGGTGTGGTGTGGTGTGGTGTGGTGTGGTGTGGTGTGGTGTGGTGTGGTGTGGTGTGGTGTGGTGTGGTGTGGTGATGTGTGGTGTGGTGTGACGTGGCGTGGTGTGGTGTGGAGTGGTGTGATGTGGTGTGGTGTGGTGTGGTGTGTGTGTACGAGCGAGAAGGAGGAGGTGGAAGTGAACGCGGGTGTGACGCGGGTGTAAAGAAAATCAGAACCCCACTTAGAATGTGGGGAATTACGAATGAGAAGAGGGAGGAGGAGGAGGAGGAGGAGGAGGAGGAGGAGGAGGACGACGAGGAGGAGGAGGAGGAGGAGGAGGAAAAGGAGGAGGAGGAGGAGGAAGAGGAGGAGAAGGAGAAGGAAGGAGGAGGAGGAGGGGGGAAGGGATGAGGAGGAGGAAGGAGAAAAGATAGATGAGGAAGGAGGAATGAGAAGCGAGGAGGGAGGATTGAAAGGAGGAAGAAGGGAGGAGGGGGCGGGGGGACACAGGAGGGACGGGGGACCAGGGAGGGGGGACGATGGAGAGGGGTATGGGGAGAGGGAGGAATGAAAGAGGAAGGAGGGAGGGCGGGAGGAGAAGAGGAGAGGACCAGAGGAGGATGAGGACAGGAGCAGAAGCCTTCCTTCCATCCCTCCATCCCTGGAGGGTTCCTGCGAGTCTCTCCCGCCTTTCGGCGAGGTCGAACGGCAGCTCGTCCAGCGTCTCCGGGTGGATCACTCTGGCGAGCCACTGCTCCACGGGGTCGTCGGCCTCCGCCACCACCGCCGCCGCCGCCGTTTCCGCCGCCGCCGCCGCCTGCGCCGCGCCCGCCGCCGTCGTTGTCGTCAACGTCGTTGTCGTCGTCGTCGTAGTCGTCTCGTTCGTATCATTCGTTGTCGCCCGTCCCGTTCGTGACGTCGGTCGTTTCCGCGAGGTCGCCTGCACTGGAGTCAGGCTACCGGCTCCGACAAGAGAGGAGGGGAAGGAGTGGGGGGAGGGAGGGGTACCCTTCCTTCACTCTTCCACACTCCTCCTCCTCTCTCCTCTCCTGCTCCTCTCCCTCACACTCCTAGTACCGTTGCTGCTCCTTCCCCTCACCCTGCTCCTGCCAATCCTCCATCTCGTCCTTCTCCCGCTATAGTCCTCGTCCTGCTCCTCCGCCCAATCCTCATCCTCCTGCTTCTCCCCCTTTCCGTCGTCGGCCGACTCGGGTTTCCTCGCTGCCCCCTGAAGAAGATGAATCGGCGAACCGGCCAGAGCCGCTGCAGGGCGCGGGCCTCGAAACACAAGACTGAAGGGGCCCTGGGACACACAAATGAATAGACACAAATGACAGGATCCCCCATATTTTCCCATATCTGCTGGGGAATCAACGATTCATTGTGTCTGTGTGTTTGTTCCCTCCCGGAAAACGCAAGGCTGAGAGAGGCCGACCGCGGGCTGCCCTGCCAGAGGGGCCACTCGGATGCCTGCCAGGGCGGCGCGTGCCGAGGCTTCACCACAGGACTCGAGGAGCTGACTGCCTGACTCGAGGTAGCTCGGGCGGTGCCTGGTACCTGCAGAACCTGTCCTGCCACCTCCCCACGGCTAAGTCCTGTGGGGAGGTGGGGGCGCATTAGGGAAATTGACTCGAGGAGCTGCTCCTCCTCCTCCTCCCCGGCATCACATCATCAGCATCATGGCAACACGAGTGTCACCCTAAGGAACCTAAAACCCTAATCATCGTCGTCTTGGTGATCGGCATCAGCACTACCGCCACCGCAATCAGCATCACCAGCATCATCGTCGTCGTCATCATCATCATCGTCATCATCATCCTCATCATCATCATCATCATCATCACCACCACCACCACCACCACCATCATCATCATCATCATCATCACCACCAGCATCCGTTTTCTTCACCTCGCCGTCGTCATCTCCCCCCCTCCTCCTGGAGCAGCAGCCGCCTCGCCGCCGGCGCCGCAGCCAGCGCCGAGCAGCTGGCAGCGCTGGCGGCACTGGTGCTGCTGACCCTGGGGCCGCGCGGCCGTCCGGAGAGGAGGTGCGCTTCTGGAGGCCGGACCGCTAGGAGGTCCGGGGGAACGTTAGGGGGGACCGGTTCTTGGCGGCGAGCGCGGGCGCGCAGAGCGAGCGCGCTCGCCGCTGTACACGCTGAGCGTGGAGCCAGCGAGCGCGCCGCAGGCCTGACGGGGAATTGGGTCGAAGAGACGGCAGGCACTCCTAGATCACGCGTGGAGGAATTTAGTGAAAAAGGAAAATCGGCATCCAGTACGGGGGGAAGTGAGAGGGGGCGGGCCTTATCAGAGGGCCGGGAAGTCACCCGACCTTCTGAGAAGGTTTCTAGGCCTTCCCCGAAGACACAGAAGACTCAAAGACTTCTCAGAAGACGCGAGGGCTTCTGAGAAGTCCCGCCGCCTTCTGAGAAGGTCTTCTCCTTCTCACTTGCCCCCCTCGCTCGCCGCCGATCAGGGGGGGGACATCGACCTGGAATCGACGATTGGGCTCCCGATAACGAATTCCACACGGGGAGAAGCCATCGGGCCCCAAGGAGCGATGAATGGGCGATGGGGGGTCGATGCATCCCCCCCTACGCCAGTGACCCCTGACATTACCCCTGAACTTCTAGAGGAACAGGGTGGCCACCGAGCCTTCCAAAGATGCCCCTCAGAGGCAATGATCACTTGAAAGCACAAGTGGGCCAAACATTGATGCGCGCTCGGCTTGTCGCTTCCGATGGGCCTACGGGGTCTCCAGGTGGCCCCAAGGTGGACCCAGGAAGCCCCTCGTGTGGCCTTGGAGCGCTCCAGAGCGGCCCAGACGATGTTTCTGGCCCCCATGGGCGAACCCAAGCGCAAGTCACTTTCCCCCAGGACATGTGAAACAAGGCGGCATGCACGCGCGATCTGCTTGCCACAGTCCGCGAACAGGCGCGAGAGCCTCTAACACGACAAGAAGTCGTGCAGAACGCAGCGAAGTCCATGCGAAATTCCTCCTGTCGCAAAACCAATAGGTCACCTAGCTTCGCGCGTCGCGCCCCGAGATGCGAGAAGTGTGATCTTCGCGCTCCTCGTGTCCTCGCAGCGCCCCCTTGGAGAAGGGCAGCCGCCCTGGCCAAGACCGCCATGCGCGAAGCGCGACCATCTTCGCGCCCCTGCAGATGACCTAGAGAGCCACCCTGAGTTTCCGAACTTGCTCGGGATCGGTGCTCAATGTGTTATTTATCTTTTTGCATGGAGGCCTTCCTGGAAGCCCAGCGCCACAACGTGGCACAAAACTACGTGCGAGACCCAAGGCCTCATTCGGGATTATTAAACATACTTCCAATTAGAACTAGCAGTGCACCGGACGAGGTGCAACGAATTGAACACATGGTGGGCCCGCTCAGCCCTTGGACGACCAGGGAACTGCCCGAAGGAGGCGAACTCGAGCGCCGCATCACGCAGCACCCCCAGGGACGCCCAGCCAGAACAGCGAAGCGAGCATCGACGCGATGATGGGACCGACGTGCGCGAGACGCCTCGCGCGCAGCGCCCACACGAGTGCGCGCTCCGCCCTGGCGAGCTCGGACCTCTTCAGAGCCAGGCGGCCCTCGAGCGCTGCAGCCTGGGCAGCCTCTCTGGCGGCATCCTCGCGGGCGGCCTCCGCGGCGGCGGCGGCGCCCCGACGCTGGGCGGCGCGGAGCTCCTCGAGGGCAGCCTCCGCGGCGCACGCCTGGGCCTCCGCGGCGCACAGGGCCTCCGAGGCCCTCTCGAGAGCCGCCGCTGTGGGGGCCGCGGCCACCCTGCCCAGCAGGCTGCGCAGGCGCAGCGCCAGCCCGGAGGCCTCGTGCCGCGCGGCCGCGTCGGCCTTCGCCAGGCGCTCCGCCTCGCACTCGAGGCGCCGCACGTCCTCCGCGCAGCGGGCGAGCTCCCCCCGCTTCCGCTCGAGGGTGTCGCGCCGCTCAGCCCCCACCTGGGCCGCCGCGTCCCTCTGCTCGAGGAGGGCGAGCTTCCTGTCGGAGAGGTCCTCGCACTTCCGCTGCAGGGCCTTCACGTTGGCGAGGCGGCTCTGGAGGAAGTGTCCCTGATGCTTGAGCTGCAGGGTGTGCTGGCGGGCTGCCTCTGTCTTGGCCCGGGACGCCATCAGCTGCACCTTGAGGGGGCTGCAGCTGACGCAGGCACCCGCCGTCGAGCTCTCGATGCATGTCGACATCTCAAACCTGAGCAGGTGGACGTTGATGCGCGCGCAAGTGATCGCCAGGCGACTGAAGGGCGCTGTGCCCTCTGAAACACGCAGGAATACGAAGAGCGTGGGGTGAGCGAGGTTCCCTACCCCTTGTCAAGATGCTTAAGCCAGAATGGCTTGAGCCAAAATGGCTACGGAGTTTGGGAACGGTGTCTTGAGCCACCTGTAAGGCTGGTTGCTCGTGGCCTGGGAGCGCCAGCACCTCGTACTAAAATTCCACTGCATGCTATGACAGGGTACACCGTGCTCTGCTGTGCTGCG